CCCTGCGTCGGGCTCTGTGCTGACTGCCAGCTCAGAGCCTGGAGCCTGTTTCAGTCTGTGACTCCCTCTCTCTCTGACCCTCCCCTGCTCACGCAGTCTCTCTCTCTCTCTCTCCTAGAAATAAATAAAACATTTAAAATAAATAAATAAATAAAATTCAGAGTATACAGGATGAGCACTGAATTGTGGACTCATTTGTGGGTAAATTTAAAGTGGCTTCTCCCAGATATCTAATGCATGTGAAATTTCTTTGAATAATGTGAAATTTATACCTAGAAATTAAATATCACCTCCAAAAAGTGAGGTTTGCTGAACAAAATTGCATTTATATTTGTAGACAATTGATTAAGGCTACTTCATTACCTCCACTTGAGAGAAGACTACCTGTGTATCTGCTCATGTACAATCTAGTTCCATCTAGTGGTAGATGCCTGAAACATAAATACAACACCTTGGAGGCAATCAACAACCTTTCTGGGAATAGAATTACTTATGTGTTCCTTTATTTGGACAATGGGCATATATTCTGTATGCTAGGAATTATATTAATAAACCTAATTATAATAACTGAAATTATGTACCATTGAAATGCACATGATAAATTTCAACAGTGTCCTGGAGTGAGTCTGTGGTGTACAGAAACAGTACTTGAGTCTTCTACATTTTCCAACATTCCATGCTTCCTTGGTTCAAATTCCCTTGATTATTTACAGAAAACTGCAAGGTTGATTTGGGGTTATGAATATTATCCTTGGCAGGCTCTTTCTAAATTATCATATAATTGTATGTTAATTGTCATATTCTTTATACTTGAAAGAAACTTATATAGAAATTATAATTACAGATATTAGATTCTAATCTCTGGCAATTAGGTGATTCAAAGTGGCTCTTTCTCTCTTATAATTCTTTAGGAGCATATCACAAAAGAGGAACGGTATTTCCCACCGCAGTCCCAGCTGGGAATTCCGATTGTCCCATGATTTCACAGCTGCAAATCAGCCCCCACCTTCTTACACTTGTCTCTGGCCAATGATGCTTTCCTTAATTAGCACATGACTTAACTTCAGTCCTGACTTATCCGTTGCCTTGGTCCCTGGGCTACCTGAGTGTGGGCTGGTCTAACTGGGAAAGAAAACCTTCTTGTACATTGATGTCATTTGCTTGACACTGAACAAAGGGAAGAACGATTTGTCTGCTTGTTGAATTGGCTTTATCAACTGAATTTGCATTCTCTGGCAACTTCTCTCTCTTATCATCTAGTCTGGTGTCTAGGCCTTGTACTTCTATTTGTGGTGTTATTATATTCTTATGGTTCTTTTATCTCCCCCATCCTGAGAATGGGGGAAAAACACTAGGAAGAAACACTTGGAGCTATGATTCATCTAAGCCAGGGTGAGACAGTCTGCGGAATGTAGTTTAAGGAGCTGTAGGGGGCTTCCTTCTAAAAGAAGGCAGTAGGTAGGTGAAACCTACGCAATTGTGAAACATTAAAATGCACGTTACAGGGGGTGGGTGGTTCAGTCAGTTGAGCATCCAACTTCGGCTAAGGTCATGATCTCATGGTTTGTGAGTTGGAGCCACACACCAGGCTCGCTGCTGTCAGTGTAAAATCCAGTTTGGATCCTCTGTCCCTCTCTCTCTGCCCCTCTCACCCCCCAAATAAATAAACATTTAAAAATAGATAAACAGTAAAATACATGTGGTAGATAATTTCAACAATGTCCTATAGTAAGAGCTCTTTTTGTACTTAAATTTCCAGGGTCCCTTTCCCTCCCCTGGGTAATTAAGCCACACAGATAATAGCTTTGCTGTACAAGTCTATGTCAACCACATGTATACTAGATAGGAGAGCATATTTGGGGAAACCTGTGTTTCCTGACATTTCTTCCTGCTTGCCACTGAAGTTTCAGATAAATTTCCTTGAAAGAAAACTAAGAGAAATCTATCTGAGGGGTTAGAACATAGGACAGAAAATGAAAGTGGGGGTAGGATGAAATGGCAGAAGTACACACTTGGTTTTCAAAGTAGCAAATATTCATTAAGTATCTACAATGTGCATGGTAGGATATTAGACACTGAGGGGAGATATAAAAACAATGCAAAACATGTTTCCAGGGGTTTGAGATGATCTGTAAGCCGACATTTATTTGTGAAACAGGTAACAGTGGCATGAAGCATAAGTCAAAGTGCCGAAAATAAATAGTACGCTACAGAAGTCCCTCACTGAGGGCTAGAGCTTAAGAGAGAAGAAGTTCATGCATTATCCTTCCATGGGCAAAGGTGACTTAGAATTGGGCTACGTATGATATTTAGTGGAGAAAAAAAAGAAGCTAATCAGGGTAGAATGATTTTCTTTGAGCAACTGAAGGCAGGAGTTGAAGCTTTAGCCATGGGCACTAGTCACTACAGATATCTGAAGAGAGACATAACATAGAAACATTGGAGGAAGAAGGACTGGTTAGGGAACAGCAGAAAGCCAAATTTGCCTAGGATGGTAACTAGGAATGAATAGGAAATACAGGAAGAAAGGATTTTTTTTTTGGTTGCCTGGACATGGAAAATTACTGAGCTGGAAGGGGCAAAGAAGACTGAAGTTTACAGCCTGAATGACTCAGCTTGAGGGGGTGACTTAGTATCAGCTAGGTGATTTAGTAAATGGGGAAAGCTCCAGATTTTAATAAGTACAATTATGGAATCAGGAAGGTTTTTTGTCTTTTTTATGTTTTATTTATTTCTAGGAGAGAGAGAGACAGCGTGAGCAGGGGAGGGTCAGAGAGAGAGGGAGTCACAGACTGAAACAGGCTCCAGGCTCTGAGCTGGCAGTCAGCACAGAGCCCGACGCAGGGCTCGAACCCACGAACCGCGAGATCATGACCTAAGCGAAAGTCGGACGCTTAACCGACTAAGCCACCCAGGCACCCCAAGATTTATTTCATTTTTAGAGAGAGAGAATGTAAGCTGGGTAGGGGCAAAGGAGAGAGAGAGAGAGAGAGAGAGAGAGAGAGAATATTAAGCAGGCTCCATACTCAACATAGAGTCCAACACGGGGCTCGATTCCATAACTGTGGGATCATGGCCTCAGCTGAAATCAAGAGTCAGACACTCAACTGAATGAGCCACCTAGGTGCCACGGAACCATGAGGCTTTAAAGCTAGAAAGAGCATCTATTCGAGCCACTTCATTTTGAAAGAAAGCAACTGAGGCAAAGGGCAGATCCCGTGACTCAATCCAGGACAGCAAACAGGCATAAGACTGTAGCCACATCTGTGTCTTCTCCCATGAGGTCATCCTGTCTGTTCCGCTATCCTTTCTGCCTAGATCTTTGTCTCTTAAAGTATGGACTGAGGACCAGAGTCCATCTGCAGCCAAATACGACCAAATAAGAAAAAACAGACTGAAATTTTCAGAAAGCAAATTTTTTTCATTTAAAGAACTGACCTTTACTCTGTGATTATGTCCTTGCTAATAGTGTTAAAATCTCCTTTCTTTATGAAATGAGGAATTAATATGAGCAGTGCAATTTTTACTATCTTAACACAATAAAAAGCTACCAATCAGGGTGCCTAAGTGGCTCAATGGGTTAAGCATCTGACTCTTGGTTTCGCTCAGGTCATGATCTCACAGTTCTGGGTTCAGCCCCACTTTGGACTCTGTGCTGACAGTGCAGAGCCTGCTTGGGATTCTCTGTGTCTGTCTCTCTCACTCTCTCTCTGCCTGTCTCTGTTCTCTCTCCCTCTTTCAAAAATAAATTAATATTTTTTAAAAGCTAGTAATCTAAGTTCTTTCCTCATTTTAAAAATAGTGGTCTTTAAAATCTAAAAGTCTTAGTCACTTCTCCGCAGGAGAGCAAATTGCTAGTGATCTATCTTTTCCAAGACGGTCAAATGGTAGCCACGAAAAGGATTACAAAACAGTGTTTTCAGATCTCTGCCTCATCCGCAAGGCCAGGATTAGAGCCATTTTCTCTTTATCATAGTTCTCTTGCGCTGGGAGTAGGCAGGAGCCCATGGAATGGACACAAGAGTACGCGTGAGGGGTTGAGACATACCCCCCGCCCCCAAACCCAGGATTCTGAATCAGTTTCTTGGCCTTAGACCAAGGCTTGGTGGTAGTAGCAGGATAATGGACCCTAATTCTTTGATATGGCCATGTGATATTTTTTTAATCCTCAATCATTTGCAAAGTCTCCAGCGGAAGTGGCTTCAAGGCATCCTTCCAGCTCGATTGTGTCACTTTTCCAAGCAGACACCCTTGCTGCTGTGATCTGTGTGTGGAATGCCTCTGTCCCTTACAGAAACAGGTCGTGGTGGGCTATCTGCCTGGGCTCCAGTAAAGCTTCACAAAGCCTGAATCCTGGGCTGAGCTCAGTTCCGGGATAGGTAGAACCCTACAAGGGTCACTAAGCTACAGGACCCGGGTGCATGGAGTTCTCAGGCAGAAATGCGTGTGGCAGCGATCTTTACAGATTCAGCGAGGGCTGCTCGCTTCTTCCTAAATATGACGTAAAGGGGAAGAGCACCGCACCAAGAATTAAGGGATCTGCAGCCAATCCTACAATTTAGGGAGATAAACAAGACACCTTACTTGGGCCCGTTTCCTCAATTCCAAAAGTACGGGTCTAGGATTCCCTCCAGGAATACTAGAGTCTAAGGTCCTACAAGACTTGGACTAGCACTGTCAGGGAGGAGCCACGTGGGGCCCAGCGGGAATCCCCCGGCTGGACGCTCGAAGCCCAGGACTGCAGAGACCCCTCACTCCGCTCGCTTCCCTTGGAGCATCAGTGGGGGGGGTGCGCGTCCCCGCCGGGCTCAGCGTGCGCGTCCCCGCCGGGCTCAGCGTGCGCGTCCCCGCCGGGCTCAGCGTGCGCGTCCCCGCTGGGACTGCAGCGGGCCCGGAGGCCCGGCCCGGCCGGGTGGGCGGGGCCGAGCGGAGCGGGGCGGGGCGCGCGAGGAGGGCGGCCGTCAGGGGAGGAGGCGAGGAGCTGGAGCCGAGGAGAAAAGGCGGCGGCCCGGCGTGGCTCAGAGGCCCGGAGGAGGCGGACCGCACGGGGGTGTGGGGCGCGGAGCGGCCGGGATCGCGCGGAGCAGCCGGGCACGGCGGCCTCGGCAGCCAGGGCCTGGGCCGCGGTTCGGTCGCGCGGGGCGGTGAGTGTCGGGAGGCCGGCTGCGCCGAGGACTGAGGCGGCGGCCGGGCGGTGCGAGGCCCGCGGCGGCGGCGGCGGCGGCGGCGGCCTTGGGGTCGGCGGGCCGGGCCTGGGGCGGGGTAAGCACGGCTCGCGCCGGCCCCGCGGGTCCCGGGCCGGCCGGCCTGGCGCGCCCACAGGGCGTCCGCGGCGTGGGCGTCCGCGCAGGTCGTCCTGCCCGGGCCGCGGTGGAGGCAGGCGGTCAGCAATGGCGACCCACCGCCGACCCCCGTGTCACCTGGCTGGCGTGTCCGTGCCCTGGGGAGGGAGGGGTGACGCGGGAGGTAGACTTGGGAAACCCTCAGAACGTTAAAAAACCGGCCTCTTTCCTTTTGCCATTTGAAAACTTGGGTCGTTTGGGGACAGACGGGTTAAATTTAGGAAGATTGGGAGGCATTATTTACTGTCTTCACGGGATGAGTGAAGTTGGTAACTTTTCCATTCATGGTAGTGAGCGGATCTTAGTCTTAGCCGCTGAGAGCCCTTATTAAAGAGAAACTTCCTGATTGTCTGGATCTGAGGGGCATGGCCACTTCCAAGTTGTTTGTGTCCTGTCCGTGGAACCGTGCTTGGAAGGGGGCCATGGAGTGCGCGTTGAACGCAAAGTAGTCTCCTCTGAGTGTGTTTATAACGTGGGTATTTGGGAGAATAGAGGTAGACGGGCAGAGCAGTATGTTGTTTACCATGGACTTGTACTCCATTCCCTTGTTTTTCTTTCTCAGCCGTGTCGTAAGTCCCAGATAAAAGATGGTTGGGAAGGAATTGACCTTTTATTCCATAATTACTTGGTTGACTCTGATCCAGAAGGAAGCTATTTATGGGCATTTTGATATCCGTGTAGAGTAACTTAAAACTCTTTAAATACAAACCTCCCAAACTTTTTAAACTTTTTTTTTTTTTTTTTTGCCGCATTCCAATACCGTGTTGTATCCTTTAGAGATCTAAGAAGGTATATGAACAGATATTGCATTTGCTCGTATTTGTTAAGGTTTTACAAAGTAACACCCCAGTGATCGACGCAGCAAAGGGAAAAGAAGAGCATAAAATGTTTGCTTAGGAATTTTCAGGGTTTAATTTTTCGGTGTGCAGTTTTCGCTGAATCACTGTTCTTTATGCTTAGTCACTGTTTCTCACTTCAGAAGCTTAATTGAGGAAAACATGGTGTTTTGGCAACTTTTAAGTTGCCAGTTTGTTTGTACCTAGTACTTTAATGCAGTGACATAAGCTTTTTTGTGCGGTTCTGGAAATGTTAGTGGGTGAAGTTTTGTGAGTGTTACCAGAGAACTAAAGTTTCCGATATAGGCAAGCTGTTACGCATTACGAGTGGGCTAGGTATTTAATTTCAACCCAATATTTCTCCATCTTTACCATTGGAGACTTTTAAAAAATACAAAGTATCCTAATACAATACTTATTAAAGAGCAATAATACTTTGAGATAATGTATATAGTTAGAGGGGTACTTTAAGGTCACCACATACGCTTTGGTTAATGTGTTTGCTCTTTGATAATACTGTACTATATTACTGAAATGTGACTTTCAGTAGGATAGGCCCTGTGGTATTTTGTATGATTTTGGATATATCTTTTAACTGACTTCCTATGACAGTTTCATTAAAAGGACATTGTATCTGTAGAATTCTTTGACAAACTCTTCAATGAAAAAGCTTTATAAAATTCTTCGTTTCAAGTTCACTTTGATGAACTATGGGAGATTGGCGTTAGACTAATGGTTTCTGTGTTGTAGGCAGCTAGATAATTACAGGTAAGCATACCCCAGTTAAAGCCCAGTCTGGAAATCTTTTACAGAAAGGTTGTGTTGTGTGTGGATAATGTTGACATAGGTTATTTACTCATACTGTTGGTTTTTATAAGTTTTATAATTATAAATGACTTGATATAAAACACTATTTTACATTAAGCTTTGTGTATGTAAATATGGCTGTCGTGTAAAGTGAAGTACATCCTTTTCCGAGGAATGTATTGTATCTTGTTGGACACATTTAATTGTACCAACCTTTATAGAGTTCTAGGTGGTTTTCACAGTAGAGTAATAGCCTCAAGGTCACAAAGCTGAGATTTCCTTAGAAGCCCGTTCCCCTCTGCCATGATGCTCTTTTCAGTAAGCTGAGTACCACCATTTGGGTGGATTAGTTTTATCTGAGTATAAATTCAAATAGCTTCTGGCCTGTGTATTAGATATTTATTAATATTTTAATTTGATATAAGTCGGTAACAGCCTCATTTGCTTATTTAGTGGAGAGCATTGCAAGCAGTTAGAACTTTAACTTTGAAATAAGCTATTCATGATTATATTTAGACTAGAAGATAAATGTTTTGATTATATCAAAACTAGAATGGTTAAACATTTGAAAAAAATTCCATACAATTAGATTCATCATTCTATAAATAAAAAGTCAGAACCAAAATCTAATGCAAAGAGTGTGTACAGTGTAACCCCTTAGCCATTTTGGACTCATCAGGAAGGCATGTGCTTTGAGTTGGAAGTTAAATGATAGTGGATTTTCAATCTTGCCTAGTCACTGCCACTCTCCCTCCCACCCCTGTTTAAACCAGTGAAATAAGATGTCCAACTGAGGTTATAGATTTCTTATGGTTTTTAAAACTGATTGCACTTGATCCTCAAATCACCCAGCAGGTGTTTGTATTTAATATAACTTGTACAGTTAATTGTATTACTATGATTAGTGCCTCCGACTGTACAAGAAGATTGAAACTTGCTTGGAGCTGCTTAGAACTGATTGCTAAATGTCAGATTTCAGTTGTAGACTTGCTTGTGTTAACTAATAGTACATGTCTGTCTGTACTTCCATTTTAGCCTTACATTAAAACAACATTTTATTAAGTGGAATTATGTTTCACCTAGTACCATATTAGCTATAATATTAAGTAGTAGACTGATGCTGCTTCCATTTTTGAGCTTCTTTTCTTAACTGTATGCCTACTCAGGCACGTGCATGTGTGCACACACCTCTGCCCCTCTCTGCTTTTCTTTTTGAAACTGATGCTTCTATATTCAAGTAACCAGTAACCAGAACGCAAAGTCGATTAGGGAGTTAAAATAGTGGAACAATATACAAGTAAACATTGACTTCTGTGCCTTTTATGACACCACTTTTTAAAGTTTTTAAAATAATGGAAGGTTGAAATTAACTTTGACTTTCTTTTCCCTTTGATTTGCTTTTTTCGTAGACAATTTACTCTATATATAGTGCTTGGAACATATAACTTAGGTCCTCAGTAAGTGTTTGAGCACTATGGACTTTTTATAGCTGGTACAGTGAGGTAATTTGGGCACAATCTGATTGTCTAATACTAAGTCTGAAAGGTTGTATTTTTGTGTGAAGTCTGTGGATTCACATGAAATCAGGAATCTCGTTTTGTTTTGGAGTCCATGTGGCTATTTCTTGTAGTATAATTCTTTCATTTATTCATGTTTCTAAAATAAGTGAAGCTCCAATTAGGCACAGTCTAGAATACAGGGAACACAAGAATGGATGAGACAGAGATGGTTCTGTCTCCTTCATGGAGTGTAAAGTTTTCCTGGAGGGTAGTTACTAAAGTTATTAAAGGATAACGGTTTATTTAAAGAATTGTGACTGGTATTATCAGAGAAGAATGCAATATGTACTGAGCCCACCGCATAATATGGGATCCATACCTTGCTTTTGGTATGTGGAAAGTAACACTGAAGCTGAGACCTAAAGATTTGAGGCAGCAATTGGGGAGGGGGAGGCGGGGAGAGGTATGCATGTGTGTGCACAGGTCTTGCTCACAGAGGCATACATAGCCCAAAGCGTTAAGTGCTTTGGGCGACTTGACTTATAGTGATTTAACATCATGCTAACTTGTGATGTTTTGTTTATTTATCGCCTTACTTATTTTAATGAATTTGGAAAAATAAAGAAATGGGTTTTTGAGGACAATTATTTTTAGGTCTAGAAATAGCTTAAATGACAAGGCCTCATTTCACTGTACAGGAGAATGCCATGTCTTAGAACTATTTTTATGGATTGCTTGTCCGTCAGAGAGTATGAGTTGGCCAAGAATTTCTGTTGGAGAAAATTGAAACTATTGTAAAGCATTTAATCATTTACAGATATTTTCTAGTCCAATGAGACTTTTTCCAGTCATTTAACTTTAAGGGTAAATTAAAAGAGATGTTATTTGGAATGTTAAAATTCTTTTAAAGAGAGTTTAAGAAAACTTAATATTGAGTTTTCGGTTAAGCTTATCTTTAATTTGAAGCCTCAGTTTTAGCAGCGTGTTTTCTACTGGGTCTGCTGTGTCATTCAGCTGATCAGTGAGGGATGGATGCTTTAAACCCATTTCTCATGATTTAGGAGCAATTGCAGAATACTTCATGGAGGCATAGTTAATTTGGTGATGATCTTGATTAGAAAAAGAATGGGTCTGGAAGTTTAAAATTTTTAAGCTGAGGGTTCTATCCCCAGAGTACTCTTTGGGCATTATCTAGCACATTTTCTTAACTTATTTTTTTAATGTATTTACTTGTAAAATGGAATTAAACTTGATTCCTACTTTGTATAGCTGTTTTGGGAATTGTTAAATTGATATTCTTGTTCCATAAGTTTATACTGAGTATTACAAATGTAGGTTATTTTAATAGTAGTTTTAAACACTATGTTCAAAGTGAAGTTACATGCTATTGTAATTACAAAGGACCAAAAAGACTTTCTTGACCGCAGGGGTGACTAAGTGTTGGAATAAACTACACGCAAAGTTGTGTAATCTCCATTCCTCAAATAACATCTTAAAATTGGATCACCAGTTACTGAAGTGCTGCCTATTTTCTTAAGCTTTTATGAGTAAACATATCTGTTGTTGTCCATGTGCATTGATCAGGTATAGACTTAAATCCTAGCTCTACCACGTACTAGGTAGATGACCTTGGGCAAGTCACTTAAACCTTTCTGAACGTCCATTTTCTCTGGGTTGTTGTGAGGATTAAGGGACATTAAGTGAAATGATATATACATAAGGGGTAAAATTGGTACGTAGTCAGTGCTCTTTTTCCCTTCGAAGTCCACTTCAGTAAGTAAATATTGTAGACTCATTGCTGTGGATGCTTTTATTTTTGTTCTTTAAAAACATTTCTCTTATTCTGAGGGGAGTAGTGTGGAACAAGCTATTTATTTTTTGAACCTTGAGATCCCTTCTATGTCTTCCTTTCAAAGTGGTCTCTGTTTTGCATTTAACTTAGTTGTTTGTGGCAATTGCTATTTTAGAATTAAGTGATGTTTTTGAGATGTGTTCTGCCTGCTGTGGTCATGTGATGTGCACATAACATAAAGTGTTTCTACAAGTTACGAGAGCAGTGGCCACTTCTTTAGAACTGCTTGTATTTTTAGGTTCTCTCTTAGTAACAGTCCAGCTTATAACCCTCAGCATGTGAGATGAACTCAGTCTTGTTGCAAAATAAGAAAGATACAGCTGTTTTCACAATCTAATCACTCAATAAAATTTGTCTTAATTCTTACTAACGTTTCTCTTTGAACCGCTGCTTAATTTACAAATGTTTGTTGTAATTAGTCTGTCATTTCTTCTATTATGACTCTGTTAGCATGTGTGTGTTTACCATATAGGTTCTGTCTTAACCTGTACAATTTATGGGGATAAACGTTCAGAAATATTTAATTCATAATTGTTTTTTTAAATACAATTTAAAAATATAGTTTTCTTGTTAAATGTGTGCTTTGGTTTTTTTTCCCTCCAGACATCAGTAAGTGGCATAATAGCAACTCAGAATTTTCTCCTTAATCCACAAAAGCTCTATCAGTATTAGGTAGACTTTTGTTACTGTTTGACAAAAATCAACCCTGGACTGGAGAAAAACAGATAGCAAAGTTGGGAGTAATTAGTTTACATTAGCCACCTTGAACCCAGATAAAATTTATGGAAAAACATGTCAGAGAGCTAGTAATCTTTTATGCACTGAAGTGAAGAAAATAGGCTAAGAATCAACTTCTTACCTAGAAAATTATAACTATTACACTGCAATTTAATTTGGGTAATGTGATGAGTTGCCCATGCCATATAGAAGAGAAATGTAGAATAAGCGGTTGGGTGTAGAGTTTGGAAGAGGGATCTGGGCAAGCAGTATAGATTAGTTTTCAGCATATAGGTGGCAATTGAAGCTTTTGAGAAATTGAGAGCACCCAGGGGGAATGTATAGAATGAGCAAGAAATGATCCCTGAAGAAGAGAAATATTTTAGAAGAAAAGATTAAGGAGGGGCGCCTGGGTGGCTCAGTCGGTTGAGCGTCCGACTTTGGCTCAGGTCATGATCTCACGGTTCGTGGGTTCGAGCCCCACGTCGGGCTCTGTGCTGACAGCTCAGAGCCTGGAGCCTGCTTCAGATTCTGTATCTCCCTCTCTCTCTGACTCTCCCCTGCTCACGCAGTCTCCCTCTCTCTCTCAGAAATAAATAAAACATTAAAAAAAAAAAAAAGAAGAAAAGATTAAGGAATAACTGGAGATGGGGGTGGTGGTGGGGGGCGGAACCGGGGAAATGTGACATCTTGAAAACTAAAGGAAAGACGAATAGTTCAAAAATGGAGGGAGTAATCAGCATAATAAAGGAAATGGCCAAGGAAGAGGATGTCTGGAAAAAAATGCTCTTTGGATTTGGCATTGAGGATCTCAAAGCAGTTTTAATGACTGGTGGTAAAAATAAAGCCTGATTAGAGGGCTGAAGAGTACACGGGAGGTTTGAAGGTTTGGTTTTCTTTTTTTTCTCTTTTCTTTTTCCTTCTGAAGCTTGACTAGGAAAAAAGAAAGGTAGTAAAAGGGGGATAATGTTTTATTATTTAGATTTTTTAAAATGAAATCATTCTGCAAGTTTTTACTGCTCATAGGAACAAGCCAATAAAGACGTTGAAGATTACAGAAAAGAAATACAGGGAGTAGTGTCAGTAATTATAATTAAATCAGTATATTTTGCTGATGTTTTCTCTTATTTTTGTATAAATTTTTCTTGATAAAAGCAGGAAAGACCATTAGGTATCTGCAAACCCCTCCTAATATTTTATAGTTACTATTACTTTGCTCAGATCCTCAGTGACTTCCTATTACTCGAAGTCCAACCTCCTGAGAGTAGCATAAGCACAATCCTAATGATTTGCTTTATTTCTAGCATCCTGCTTCATCTCCCCCAGCTATGTAGCATTTCACCTTGTGACCCAGCAATACGAAGAAACTTGAGATTCCCTGAACATGTTTGCCAGTTCTTGCTTTTCTGCATTTACATATATTGTTACTTCAGTATTGAATACTTCCCTACCTTTCCAGCTCTCCCCTTCTATGCTTAAGATTTCCCATCATTCAAGACTACTGTGAATTCTTCTCTAGTCCCTACCATGCTGATAATTATCTTCTCTGTGTTAACCATTCTACTTCTGTCAAATTGATCACATAATAATTGATCACAAAATAATGATTTTTACTGTTGTGTCTCAGACCTGCTGTAAGTAGTTCCTTGGGAAGGGGGCACCATGTCTTACTAATAATCTTTATATTGCCACCCCAAACACAGTGCCTGGTACAGAGTAGTTAAACAGTAAACAGATGTTTAATAAATGAATGGAAACTGTGACCCTCAGAAGTAAGTGATTTGCCTATAACCACAAACTGGAAATGGAACTTACATTTTCTGGGTAAATTCCCTGTACGAAATAAGGCTCACTGTGGTGATATATAGAAGGAGTGATCAATGGATTAAATCCTAAATGAATTCATATATTTAGAGAGAATAAAAGGAAACCTTCTAATACTTTTAGATAAGTATATTCATGATATTCAGGTCATTCCCTTCTAGGAATATGATGAGGTTTCTGCAGTATGGGTGCTTCAGAATCAGTTTCAAAAAAATAAAAGCTAAAGCATTCTTGGAAATCTATGTTAGATATGCATTAATTTGTTTTTTGGCATCATTTTATGTACTACACAGTGTACTAGAATTCAAGTATTATATTTTGAAACATTTGGCCTTTTAGGCATATGATACATGAAAATGAACTGCATTTGTTATTTGAAGTGCTTAAATTGTTTCAAGATGGACTGATTATACGTAAAATAAACTTAAGTGTGTTTATATATTTCATCCTACAATAAGTCAGTACACCTTTATGATTTGATTTATGTTATTCAGCAGTTTTTAAAAATTGACCACATTTTGTCTAACTTCGTATCTTTTTTCCGTCTCAACAACTAGAGCTGGACTTGCCAGTATGGAGGAGGAGCTGCAGCATTCACACTGTGTGAATTGTGTCAGTAGACGGTGTATGACCAGACCAGAGCCCGGGATTTCCTGTGACCTAATTGGTTGTCCATTGGTTTGTGGAGCAGTTTTCCATTCTTGTAAAGCTGATGAGCATCGACTTTTATGTCCATTTGAACGAGTGCCTTGCTTAAATAGTGATTTCGGATGTCCGTTTACAATGGCTCGAAATAAAGTTGCTGAACATCTAGAAATGTGTCCTGCAAGTGTGGTGTGCTGTACTATGGAGTGGAACCGATGGCCAGTTAGTTATGCAGATCGGAAATCGTATGAAAATCTAAGCAGAGATGTCGATGAAGTGGCACAATTAGATATGGCCTTGGCCCTTCAAGACCAAAGGATGCTCTTAGAATCTCTCAAAGTAGCCACCATGATGTCAAAGGCAACTGATAAAGTGGCAGAACCTAGAGAACAAATCTCAGTTAAACCAAGTGTCCCAGAAGTACCACATACTAATGGTTTGGTACCTGTTGATGAAGAATCGTATGGTGCACTTTACCAAGCTACTGTAGAAACAACCAGAAGTTTGGCTGCTGCCTTAGATATCCTGAATACCGCCACCAGAGACATTGGCATGTTAAGTACAAGTCTTTGCGCTTCCCCAGATGAAATGAATGAAGAGCAAAATGCCAGAGCAAGCTTGCAGAATAGACACTTGAAAGACCAGGACCATCTTTTCGAGGATGAGATAGGAGCAGTGGGTGGAATTGACCACAGTGACACAGGTCTGAGTGTCCAGTCTGAACAAAATGGTTCAAGTGACTTACTGTGTGACTCCGATGCCAGTTCTTACGGCGCTTCTGCTCTTTGTAATGGCTTTTCTTTGGAAAATATATGTACGCAGGCCATAGACAGAAATCAGAAATTACATGGTGATTCAAAACAAAGTAACTTAACAAATGGAGAATGTATAGCGTCAGATGGCACTTCAGATCCTTCCAGTTCACTTTCAGTAGCAGCACAACTTAGGGAAGTCATACCATCCAGTGCTTTGCCTAATGGTACAGTTCAGCATATCCTCATGCCAGATGGTGAGGATGAAGAATTGTGTTGGAGAAAAGTAGACTTAGGGGACTTGAGCAGTGTGGATGTCTTATCTTTCAGTCATCCTCCTCCATTCAAATTTCTTTCTAATTCATATTGGTCTAAACCAAAAGAAGATAAAGCAGTAGATACATCAGATTTGGAAGTTGCAGAAGATCCAATGGGCCTCCAAGGAATAGACCTAATCACAGCAGCATTACTGTTTTGTCTGGGAGATTCTCCAGGTGGGAGGGGTATATCTGATAGTCGCATGGTTGATGTTTATCACGTGGATTTTGGGACTCAGACTTTTTCACTTCCATCTGCAATATTAGCTACAAATACAATGGTTGGGGAGATAGCTTCAGCTTCAGCTTGTGATCATGCCAATCCACAGCTTTCAAATCCAAGTCCTTTTCAGACACTTGGGCTGGATTTAGTATTGGAATGTGTCGCTAGGTACCAACCCAAGCAGCGTTCAATGTTTACATTTGTTTGTGGACAGTTATTTAGAAGAAAAGAATTTTCTTCACATTTTAAGAACGTGCATGGTGACATTCATGCTGGACTCAATGGCTGGATGGAACAGAGGTGTCCTTTAGCATATTATGGTTGTACCTACTCTCAGCGTAGATTTTGTCCGTCAACACAAGGAGCAAAGATTATACATGACCGCCATTTGAGGTCATTTGGAGTTCAGCCTTGTGTATCTACAGTATTAGTGGAGCCTGCTAGAAACTGTGTGTTGGGATTACATAGTGACCATCTAAGTAGTCTTCCTTTTGAGGTCCTACAACATATTGCAGGCTTTCTTGATGGCTTCAGTTTATGCCAGCTCTCATGTGTATCCAAGTTAATGAGGGATGTGTGTGGCAGCCTGCTTCAGTCTCGTGGAATGGTCATACTGCAATGGGGGAAAAAGAAGTATCCAGAAGGAAATTCATCATGGCAAATAAAAGAAAAGGTGAGTTTAATCTCCACTGTATCATTTCCTCAATTGACATATGGTAGACACTTAATGTTGCAGAATTAATAAATTTAAGATCTTGTTGAAAAATTGACCATCCTTATACTTCAATATGACAGACTTTTTAAAAATAATGATAGTTAGTGGAAGACTAGGTTAAAATTATTTGTTATAATCACATATTTACTGCAGACATCCTACTATTAGATTCTAATGTAGCAGAGGCCACTTCTGTTTTTTCATTTGAGCAGTTGTGTACTTAATTTTTCTGTAACAACTCCTTTTGAGTCCATGTTAACCACCTTCTGTGTTGAGTTCCGTCTGAAACATTTTCACCATAGGACAATGGAGGAAGCAGGACAAGGGTTTTCACTGCTTACACTTGGCAGTTTCTCTCCATTCCTAGCAAGTTCTTTCTTGGAATTTGGTTATTTCAGGTAGAAATTAAATGGAGATTAAAAAAAAAAAAGTTAAGTGCTACCATTAGTCAGTGACCGGTGGAGTATTTGGGGGGCTAGAGAGCATACATGGATACGTGTGGTAATGTGTTAGGTTGAAGTCAAGAGGTAAGAGTAGGGGGTCAGACTTGATCCTGGAGGTGGGGGCTCTGGGTGTAGGACTGACAAGAGAGGGTTGCATACAGGAGGCTTGTGCTGGGGATTGGGGCCGACCTGGGAACAAATCCTGGCTCTACCATTTCCTCTTGTGAAAAGTCTACTTTTGTCCACCTTCTTTTTTATCTTGAAAATTTTTTAATTTATTTTTTTTAAGAAATTTTTACACCCATCATGGGGCTCAAACTCCCAATGTTAATATCAAGAGTCACTCCACAGACTGAGCCAGCCAGGTGACCCTACTTTTGCCCACTTTCTGAGACATCATCTAAGAGAAACTAGAAGGCATTACAAGTATCTTTTATTGCAGATTTTCATTTTAGAACATTTATAATATGACATTTTGTATTTTATAAAATGGAAAAAATTTCACCTAGGTTGCACAGGTTTCAAATTTCTAGCTACTGTGTTCTTATCACCCTTAGGTTTTCTCTGACTTTTATTCATTCGCTCCCGTTTTTCAGAATTCTGCATCTTTTGTGTTCTCCTGAAGCTTTGACCAACAGATGAATACACTATTTTATCATTTTTTTCCCCAAATGGGAATTCTGGTGGCAGAAGGTTTTGTATTTATCGTGTACCTCATACTTGGTATCTTTCTTCCATTTAGGATGGGATACTCCGTGCGTGGTCTCTTTTTGTCCTTGCCCATTAGTATTGACCTATGAGGTGAAATATTTTCTGGGAATTCTATTCCTGCAGAAAATCTCATCTACTTTTGGAGTTTAAATTGCCATCACTTACACAGATTCCTTACACATCTGTATCCTGGCTACTTTCTTCTGAACTCCAGAGCATACATGCATCTCCTGGACATTTCCACTTGATTATCTCATAGATCCATCAAACTCAGCATGTCCAACCTACTCTCTGTCTTTATCCCTCTTAATCTCAGCAGGTGGCCTTATCATCTACCACATTGCCTAACCTAGGAATTTGGGAGGTAGGGTTGACTTGTTTTATTTCCATATCTAGGTAATGACAAAGTCCTGAGTCTCCCTTCTTCATACCTCTCAGATTTGTTTTACAGTTTCCACTGCCTTTTCCTTAGCTCTGTTCCCTTTAGCTCTCTCTTGCTTACCACAGTAGCCTAGGTGGGTTTCTGTTCCTAATTGGGTCCCTTTCCAGCATATTCTCTCCGTAAGGACTAGAGTGGGAAATATGTTTCTTGTTTTAAAGAATAGTTTTTAATGTTTCATCTTTTGAGAGAGAGCATGAGTGGCGGAAGGGCAGAGAGAGCGGGAGACAGAGGATCTGAATTGGGCTCTGCACTGACAGGGTGACAGCAGCAAGTCCAGTGTGGGGATTGAATGCAAAAATGTCAAGGTCATGACCTGAGCTGAAGTTGGATGCTCAATCACCTGAGCCACCCAGACGCCCCAGGAATATATATATTTTTCAAATGTTTATTAATTTTTGAGACAGAGACAGAGCATGAGCAGGATGTGGGGGGAGACAGATTGAGAGGGAGACACAGAACCCGAAGCAGGCTTCAGGCTCTGAGCTGTCAGCACAGAGCCCAGCATGGGGCTCAAACTCACGAACCATGAGATTATGACCTGAGCTGAACCTGGATGCTTAACCAGGTGCCCCTTAAAAACTTCAATGTTTGTTCATTGTTCCAAGATAGAGGAAGATTCCTTAATGAAACATTTAGGACTTTTTTACAGTCTTAAATTCTAAGATTTATATTATAAATCTTAACATCTTCAATACCTCTTGTTATTTTATATTCCAGCTATGTTGATTTACTTACAGTTTCCTGATGTTTTCTGTCTTGCCTTTTTGCCTTACGACCTTTGAATATGTTGTCCCTAACACAGTACTTACATTTGAACATTTGCAATATGCCTGACAATTTGCTAGTAAGCATTTTACTTCTGTTAACTTATTTAATCTACTGTCCTTATTTTATGGATGAAGAAACTGAAGTTTAGAGAAGTTAAGTAACTTGTCCAACTAATTGATGGATTCAGACCTAGGGAACCTTTCTCTGGAGTTTGCTTTCTTCATCCCACTGTATTTCCTGCTTACTGTACAGATCTTCCTCAAGAAAGCCTTCTGGAATCCCCAGCCCCCACCAAAGCCTTCAGGGAGGTGCACCGCTTTGTGTTCGTGTGGCACCCCACTATATTCCCCTAGTATGTTTGCCCTACTGGAGCATTCTCTGGTCTTCTGTAATTCATGAATGCATTGTCAGTTTCTTTCATAAGACTGTAAGTTCCTTGAGAAGTGAGACTCTCTGGGAACCAAAATATCTACCGCCTAACACAGCATTGCCATATAGCAGGCACTAACGTACTTAAGGAATACTTTTGAGAGAAAAATTGGCCCATGACTAAGAAACCTTGTCACCAGGAGGTGGGAATCATCCATTTTCTCCTGACTTTGTTTCACCAGACTTAATCGTGTGGAAGTAGGGAAGCCATCTGCCACCATTGAATCTTTCATGAATTTGTTCTGCTAAAGTTTAACCAAACTACTAATTCTTCCTGTAGTTTCATAGGTATAGGGGATTGTAAGGGATGCTAGTGACATCTGTAATGTCTGTTGTTAGCTACTCTCTAGGACTCGTAGGAAATAACTCCATGCAGGAGGCATAATTGGTATAACCCCAAGCAGTATAGGAAGTAAGTACCCTTTGTGCTGAACAGTGGTGGTTTCTATTCCAGCTGAAAAATGAAAGTGTTCCCATAGAATTTGAAGGCATCTGGCCACCCTGGAAGACATTGCCCTCCTTATCTGAGACGCTCTAATGAGTGCTGAGGGCTTTTCTGAAATCTGCTGCTTTCTAGAGTTGACGAGCTTAGCTAGAATGCCAGGGCCTGTGATCTGTGCCATTTATGCTTGTTACCTGAGTCTGTCCTCCATTCGTGCTTGCTACCTGTGTTCACATAGCTCTATATTTAAAACTGTAAAGATGAGAAGGAGTCACTACTGTCATTGCTGGACCAGTAAGGTAACATTGTTTCAGGGCTTGGAGCTGCTGAGAGAGCAAAACGGAAAGTAGCCCATATTTTTACCAACAGACACATGAATAGGGATAGCAAGTGAATATTTTGCCTAGAAATGCATTTTACAATGATCTGGAATAAAATGTGATTCATTTTACAAAAGCTTTTTAATGTACATTTTCAGAAACATTTTGAATAAATTGAAGTGCCTGTATTCATGAATATTATTAAGTACCTTTAGTACTTAGAAATAGTGTATTTTTTGGCATACTCCGTATAGTATAATAGGAATGGGAGAAAAACTTAGGGGGGAAAAAAAACACATGTGTTGTCAATATCTCCAGACTCTGAATAGTTCTGTATGGCCAGTTGGGCAGGATGAAAGAGTGTGCAATATATTATTTTAGGAAGTAGCTCTGAATTTACAAGATTATGATTTTTTAAAAATTGGCTTAATAAGTCAAGTTGGATGTAGTTTTCAATGTTGAGTTATTTATTTATTTATTTATTTATTTATTTTTGGTTACTGCATTTATTGAGATGATGGTGTCATAGAAGTGATTTATAGGTTTTGGTAAACAGATTTGCCTCCAAATGGATTTATTCATTTACAGTTTTATAGCTAATTGCTGGAAACATTGTATTGGCTATTTCTCTAACAGTACAAATGTCTGCAGTTGGAGCAAGAAGTGTGTTTTGATTCTTGTAAATTGACTTGTTTAAATCTGAAGTAGACTTTTCTTTTAGGTATGGCGATTCAGTACTGCATTTTGTTCTGTTAATGAATGGAAGTTTGCTGACATCCTAAGCATGGCTGACCACTTGAAGAAATGCACTTACAACGTTGTGGAGAAACGGGAGGAAGCCATCCCACTGCCGTGTATGTGTGTGACCCGAGAACTCACTAAAGAAGGACGCTCACTTCGCTCTGTTTTAAAACCTGTACTTTAGAAAGTGTAACTCCACTTGCACATACATGCAAGCACCTAGTAAAATTTGTCATATGTGACACTTTATCAATGTATTAAAGATTACAACTAGCTAAATTTATTGCCACTATGTATATAATGTTTTGAAGTGACATATATTTTTATAAAGTACTGTTTAGTTGGAAAAAAGTTGCCTTAATGTTTGAAATGTGTGAAATTTTTGGAACTTGCTGGACAGGGTGATTTAATTTTTAGCTACATAATTTTCAGAATTAGTATTTTTAATGGTGTGCATATCTTGGTTTTTAAATTTTTTGCTTCTTAAACTAACGAGATCCTGACCAAACAATTTATTCCTCATGTTTTTTGTGGGTTATAACCCATGCATTCAAAAAGCAAAACTTTGAATCAGATTTTTTTCAGCATACGTTTTTCAGATAAAAACATTCAGTTGCTTAAGGACTGCCATAAGATCATTATAAAATTTTTATTTTTTAGTGCTCCCCTTACACAATTGTTGATACATAGATGATCTTTAATATATATTTATGTAATATTTAAAATCATGACTGATGTTTGGTAATGCATTTATCATGTTTTAAAAAGACGCAAAAATATTTTCACCTTCTATATTTGCAACTCTCATAACAGAGAGTGACCATTTGCAACTTTTGTTTTTGTTGGACATCACATCCAAAGACTCATGGCAATGTGTTTTATGACAGGTTAAAGTGAAAACAAAAAGCCTCTGAACTTATTTTAATTGGAAACTGTTCATCATATTCTGTATTTGCTAGGTTTCTGATATTTGGAGAGAAGAAAATATACCTCATTTAAAGTTCGGATTGGGCACATTGTTTGAATAAATTTCAAATATTCAGAATGCAAAGGGCTTAACTTTCTTTCCTAAGCATATAAAATTTTGCCTTTTTATGTTTATAAAAATCACAACTGTTCCTTTAAGACGTTTAACAATGTGAAATTTGGTGTCTTTGTAAGATGACAATCTTGAAATAGAGAAACCTGTCTTGGTTGACAATCTCTTGAAAACATTTCCAAGTTTATTTCCCATAGACTTCTCTACCAAAATAGTAAGAATTGCATCTTTGTGTAAAGATCAGGGCATAACAGAAAAATACTCAAAGTCTTACTGGTGAGGTATTTTATTGTAGTTTTCAATTTGATATACACTATAATTAACCTGATGTTAATTAACCAGTTTTAAAAAATGAATATACGGTGTCCGTATTTAGAATTAAATTTCAGAGATGGGGACATACACTTAAGTAATTTGTTTTAAGTAACTTCTGGCATTTAGTAGCCTGAAGTGGTGACAAGTTATTTTGCTATAACATCAAACTTCTGTTGTGTCCTCTTTTCTTACATTTGTCCCTGAGAATGCTCTGTTGTGACCCAGGTCTTGATTACCATACATGGCAGCCAGGCTGGGCAGAGGTGTTCCTTGGGCATTAGAAAGGAACTCTGAACTACTAAAGACTTCTTCTGGATGGGTCACATCTTTATTACAGTTAAAAATATAGCATTAAAGACTAATCAGTTGTTTTGCCTCACCTGTCATTTTAATTAGTAGAATAACTATTTCTATGTGTTTAAACTTTCAACTATGAGATTGAATTCTACACTATTTCTGTGAAAAAGGTCAGAAATAAGATATCAAATACTGTAAAATATAACTCTGCCTTTTAAAGTTTTGCTGAAGAATGTGTCTGGTTAGGATAGCACAAACATTAACTTTCTGTTTTATGGTTGTGCTTGTTTGGTTTTTAAGTTCAGACTTTTTGTTTCCACACTGGATCGTGAGATGTTTAACAGTTTTCCACCTTATGTTTCTTTTACACATCTTTAGCTGTTTTCTTTTTTGTTTGTTATGCCACCATGTGATTTTGTTAAAATGTTTTCTTTGTGCAACATTTGTTCAAATTCTAATAAAATTAATATTTTCCCTTTATGTGGCTCAGTAACTTAAAAAGAAAAACTTTCTTTGAAATAAAATTTTAATACTTGTTTGAGAAATTCCAAACACAGTGTTTCTAATAAGTGTACATTTTCTGCATGTTGTAAAAGTTTGTTAATTATGATTGCTCACCAATGATTTACTGGTGATCATTGTTGTTTTTAATATGGAAAACTCAATTAATTGACTTTTGTGCCTTTTCAGTGTCTTCTTGAAAGTAGTCCCATCTAGGGGTATTGAAAGGCTGAAGAGTTTCTGGCAGTATTGTTTTTCTAAACTTTATAATGGGAACAATCTATCTAGGCTTTTAAGCATGAAAAGGTTTGTGTGTCAGTTAATTGTCATTTGAGAAGTCTTTGTTGATTTCTTAGTTTTTTTCTGACCAGCAAGATAAAGGGCAGGTGTCAGGATGGAAGGAAATAACTGTATTCCATTTTATCTGCTGCCTCCTTCCCCAGAACTGCATGTTTCTCTTTTTCTCATTCTCTCTCCGTTTCTCTGTCTTTGTAATTGCCTTTGGAGACTCACAGTAGGGGTTCCCAGAAGCACCTGGGCATTTGTTAGAAATGCAGATTCCTGGGTCTCTCTGTACACCTAACCAGAAACTCTAGGAAGGAAACAAGCAGTCAGCTTTAACGGAGGCCTTCGGGTGATTCTGATGCACCCTAAAGTATGAGAACTTAGGGAAGAGCCTGGGATATGCCAGCTATTCTCCTGAATGATGTGCTATTGGAGTGGGTATGTTTGAGTATATACACACACGTATAATCCAAACTTAAGAATAATGGTAATTTGTTATTAATTAATGGTTAAACTAAGTGATGTATGTTGTGGCAACCTTATAGCTGTATAACAAACTACATTGGGTACCATGGTGGTTGGACATTTTTTTAAAAACCTAGGATTTACTAGTGTTTAAGTTTTACTAGTGTTATTACTAGTATTTCACTTGTGTTTTTTCTGTTCAAAATAAATTGCAGTGCAACATATAGTTCATTAGCATTAACGTTTAGCCTAGTCATCATCCATTCTTGTTTAGTGTTTGCAGAGTCATGTGAACATATTAGATTTCTAGGATAAACAAAAAGAGTAGATGTAGACATACTGGATTAAACCCTACAAAAATATTTGTAGGAATCCTTTCAACCCCTATCATTAAGAGAGATTAAAGGTTGAGTTTCTGAGTTATTGGTAGTATAGAATCTTGTTTTGGTCTTTGACCTTGTGCTACATATCCCATCCATGTAGTTGCTATTATTGACAGTGGGTATTAGGATCTTAGTAATTTGGAAGATAAACAACAAAACTTCCATATCCCTTGAAGATAACAGCAGCTTATATTACTATATTGATAACGTATTGTTAACCTCTAGCAATTTGTAATTTTTGGCATTTAGAAGCAAAATAGATTTCTTCATATTTTGCATCCCAGCCTAAAAAGACATAGGATTTATTGATCTTAAAAATTTTCGAAGGATTAGTTATGCAAACATTTAAAAATGTGTTTCATGCCTGACACACCATATCAGAAGGTGATGTGATGGGGACCCCCAGAGGTGGATGGTGAGAATTGCAGTAGAAGAAAGCATCTGGCCCTCATTCAGTAGACTGGACAAAGGACAAAGTCTTTGATGGGAAGAATTTTCCTGATATGTGTTTGGTTATCTAAATGCTGCTCTAAATAGTCTTACTTAACAGGTTCTTGAGGCCTAGAAAGTAAGGGAGTATTAGTTATCACTTAAAAAAATATCAAGTCATGAGTGACTCATCCATTGCATTTAATGTAATTCAGTGATGCGTTTTGTTAGGATTTGATCTAAATCTGATTTCCAAACAAGTTTTGAGCTGTGTAAGTAAAGACCAATTCTAGTAAACTTCTTTCTAAATAAAATAAGGGAGAGGGAGGATGGTTTTGTTTTAATGTCACTTTTTATGTAATTATTTTCTTTGCTTTAAAAGATCAGAGTAAGTTCAAAAGACAAGTCCTTTCAGGTTTCTATTCTAATGATGAAAAAACAGATACTCAAAGTTCAGGTGCTGGCGATTGTATGGGGATATTTCACAGAAATGTGTCCTCACCAGGTTCATTTTTTTACTTTACTAATTCAGAAAGAAGAGACATTTCTACTTTATTCAGAAAGAAGGAACATTTGGAAAATATTGTTGCCTGGAATATTTGATTCCTAATAAGTGTTTTAGAAATACTGACAGTACCAGGAGGAAAACAAGTAGAAAGAAACGAAGTATGGGTGTTATTCTGAAAGTCCTTCGCAAAAACTAGGTTTTTTGCTGAGTTTTTGCAAGTATTTTTTGCATCTGTGATTGATAAAATTCTATAAACTTGTTTATATATGTATATTTATTTGCATGTATAATCTCCATGTAGATTTTAATACATCTTGACATATTAATGGTGATACACCTTGAGGTACGTTTTTATACCTTAGAACATTTCAAAACTGACATTTTGTATTCAGGATGTTTGACATTCAAATGTGTTATTTGGAGAGTGACTTTTTATCAGTTTAATAACTGCAAAGAAATGGGCTAGCAGGCTGTCTCATGAATGTACTCCATGGAAACACAGTAAAAAAGTCATTGATATGAATCTCTTATATAATTTTTTCTCTTTTTGACATATGCTGGTCTGAGTATTGTTTACTGTGAGGAAAAGTATTTTTGAAGCAAACTGACAACATAAATGTTTCTTTTCACTGATGAAATTTTAGGCACCCCCCCAAATCACTTTTAATAATCTGTTTGCATGCAAGTATTGTGATAGGAAATGGTTCTTCAATATGTAGCTAGTTCTAGTGGTGCTAATATTGCATGTATTTGAAAGTAATAAAACTGCATTTCTGTTGAACTCTTAAGACTGACCAACTTATGAAATTATCCTTTCCAGTAAAAGAAAATTCATTAGGTTTAATTTTTTACCATTTTCTATTATAAATTGCTAGAAGTATCTTTTTCTCAGAGAAGACCCTTAAAGAGGTACATAGGTTGGTGTATGTGTTGGTTCATTCTTTGGCAAAGGTTAGAGGTAGACAGCTTTCCATACCCCTTAAAGAGTAAAATTAATTGTTGCATTAATTTTCAGTGGTATGATGATATAAAAACAGCAATAAGGTGTTACTGCTCAAAAGATTGAAGTTGAAGATAGGCGATATTGCCCTTTGCTGCCCTGAAATTTTTTCGTTGAAATTCTCTTTTCCATGTTAATTGTCATTATTGCTTCAATTTTCTGACCAGGAGATCAAAATAACGTAGATTAAGTATAACGGGGTTTTTAAAAACTTGTTCCAATGAGCACATGTTTAGTAGTTGGGGTCAAGTAAGTTTAGATTTGATTAAGTAACATTTAGCTTCTTTTAAAGTCTCAGCTGACAAGTTTGTAGTATTGAAAAACAAGTATCAGCATTCAAGTTTGTCTACATTATATGACTAAAAGATATCAAACCATAGAAATAGAAGTATGACATCTGTTCAAGAATAGAATTACCCAGTGAATATTTAATTATGTCAAGTGAATGTCTTTTATATCAATTGATAACTTTAAAAAACTAGGTCTTATATTAGAAAGGGATTTGAATAGAGAATGGTATTAATTCCCTACAACATTCCAATACCCTTGTGAGGAAAACTGACATATGCAATAAATTGCTTTAAATGGTTAATAATTCAGTGGAAATGAATTCTTAAGATTTTAATGCTGCATATAAAATATTAAAGTTGTATTGTTCATTTGATGAGTGTTTAAGCACCAGTCATTCCTAGAAACTTGAATCATTCTGAAAGATAATTGCACTGACTCATTCACTTACCTCAGGTGTCATTTAGTTTCCAATGTATCTTTTTTCCCCATGATTTACATTAATGGTTGGTTTCTCCTTAATGCTAAAGGATATGGTATTTCTTGAAAAATATGCTAAGTAAAAGAAGCTAGATACAAAAGGCCACAAATTATGTGATTCCATTTACATGAAATATCCAGAATAGGTAAATCCATTGAGAGGAATCAGATTGTGAGGGGCTGGCAGGGAGGGGTCGGAGTGGTGGGAGGTGACTGCTTAATGGGTACTGGTTTTGTTTAGTGATGAAAATATTCTAGAACAAAATAGTGTTGATTGTACAACATTGTGAATGACACTGAAATGTACACTTTAACCACAATTACAAAGGGTGGGAGTAATTTGCAGTTATTACCAAAGCCAAAAAGTACCTTGTTCTCAAGGTTTGTAAAATGCTCAAGTTCTGGTTTAGAATTAATTTACAACATTAGTAATGTGACAGATTTATTCAGTTTAAAGTCCTAATGAAATTAATAAATCTCATCACAGAAGTACTGGTAACAGCGGCAGAAATGCAGTTGTAATTCATTACAATTTCATTATTTTCATACAGTTTGGACAGTGAAAAATTGGCTTCCAGGTCAATGTTCATCTTTCATCTTTTACCTTTTCTTATGATTCCTTGGGGGAACATCTCAATCACATTTTTTAAAGGTCTGTTTTTAAAATCATGCTTTGGAAACAATTTGTATAATTTTCAGGATCATTTTTTTATAGTTTTATACTTTGTGTTCCTTTTAAAGAGCAAATCCATTGATGTATTACATAAGACTAAATTAATAAATTGAACCCTTGTATACATTTTGTATTCTTTTGTATTATCTTGTGGGGAAAACATTTGAATCTTGGGATTGGTAGTGCCTCCTTTTCTATTTGGAGAAATCAAAGCCGAGATTGTCAGTGTGTTTGTTCATTCAACAAGCATTTATTGACCACTCATGCCATGCACAGTGGAGGCTAGATTTGGGAAGGTTGTGATGTGCCAAAGCTTACAAAGGAAATTGCTACTTCTTCCTCTTCATCTCCTCTTTCTCCTCCTCCCCTTCCTTCTCCTCCTAATATCTAGTAACGATGCCA